GTGTGCCTCACACAGGTGAGTGGGCTTGACAAACCACCTGTAGAAAACACATGCTTTTATCATTTTTGTCATGAACTACACCTCTACCATCACATGAACTAGAACTACCATAGCCCATCCGCCTCAAGGTTGGCCGTGTTGTGTGTTCAGAGATGCTCTTCTGCAGAGCTCGGTTGTAACGAGTGCTTATTTGAGTTACTGTTGCCTTTCTATCAGCTGGAACCAGTCTGGCCATTCTCCTCTGACCTCTGGGATCAACAAGGCATTTGCGCCCACAGAACTGCCGCTCACTGGATATTTCCTCTTTGTCGGAGCATTCTCTGTAAACCTTAGAGATGGTTGTGTGTGAAAATCCCAGTATACAGCAGTTTCTGAAATGCTCAGATCAGCCCATCTGGCAGCAACAACCTTGCCACATTCAAAGTCACTTAAATCCCCTTTCTTCCCCATTCTAATGCTCAGGTTGAACTGTGGCAGATCGTCTTGATCATGTCTATTTGCCTAAATGCATTGAGCTGCTGCCATGTGATTGGTTGATTAGAAGTTTGCGTTAACAAGCAGTTGGACAGGTGTACCTAATAAAGTGGCCGGTAAGTGTATAATTAGCACCATGTCTGTTGCATATGTTTTAGAAAGCAGACGCCCTTCCAGCTGCAACCCAGTACTAGGAAACACCCATACACACTCTACATACATTCAAATGCCAACTGGCCCAACCAGGACTCGAAGCAGCGACCTACTTGCTGTGAGGCGACAGTTCTAACCACTGACCCTAGTAGCCCTAAAATATTATTAATCTTACCTTACAGACACTATACTAGATAGAAACAAGAATCTAAGCTGAACAGATAATAGTATAATGACACCATTGTCTTCTGTGGCTGCGTTCGGAGTTGCTGCATTAATTATTAACACTGAATTGAATTAACACTGAGCTGAACTAGGCCGAATAATTAGACTATTGTCTTGCTCTCTTGTTAATGTTGCTGCTAATGTTGTGCGATGTGCAGAGCTGCTCCACTGATCTGATCCCAAAGCACCCAAATCCCACCAAGCCGTTTTTTATTTATGGATGTATTTGGGGAAAAGAGGGTGCTCTTATGAACCAGACGAACAACACACACTCCTCTTCAGCCAGCAGCACTAATTCACTATAACCTATAAGGTCGTGGGTCTAAAAATAACCTGTCCACAGAGGCGACCGCCGCAGGGAAAGGCTTGTGTTTCACCCATAAAGAATGACCTCAACTGTAAACAAACCGTAAAAATGCTACCATCAAGATTTCTTTAATGGCGCAGGGGGTAGCACAATCGCCTTACAGCAAGGAAGTCCAAACACATGCGCTGTAGGTGAATTCGATAAACTAAATTGGCTGTGGTTTATGAGTATGTATGGGTGTTTCCCAGTGTAAGGTTGCGGCTGGAGGGACATCCGTTGCATAAAACGTATGGTGGATTAGTTGGCGGTTCATTCCGCTGTGGGGACCCCTGATTATTAAAGGGACTAAGCTGAAAAGAAAACGAATGAATAAATAATGGCATACAATAATAATAATGATGATGATGATAACGATAATAATATTAAGACAATGACAATTCTAATAACGATAATAAATAACAATAATGATGATGATGGTGATAATAATAATACTAATAATAATGATGATATTAATGATAATGATGCTAATAATAATAATAATGACAATGACATTACTAATAATGATAATAATGATGATAATATTAATAATTTGGGTTTTTGTAAAACCCTACTCTATGAATTGACACAATAGAGCAGCGGCAATCACAGCAAGGCAAAATCAAGGGTCAGTTCCTTTTACCAATGGAAATTTCACACTGCAGATGAATATGAATAGACTCTGATTATCCACATGAGCGACTCAACAGCCAAAGAGAGGAAATTGCTCATTTATTTGTCATAAGATGCAATTATTAGGCAAGTTGCCTGAAACCGTCACAATGAACTTTTAGCCACACAAATGTGGAAGCTTTTAAATAAAAACATGTATTAACCAGTTAAACTCTGCTGTTATTTTGGGATGATCCGCCTGGATTTTGCCTGACCAAATTTAAAAGCTTCCCAAATCTACATGCAGAGGTGTAAATGCAAAAAATGTGGTATCATTTTAAAGAAAACCCTTTAAAGAAAACACTATTGAAAGTGTGTAAAATATCTGTATATGTTGTCTGTGTTGTAATAAACACCTAATAAAAGAGGCGCTTTTTGTATTTTTTTTTTATAAACTCAAATGTGAAAGTGTATATTTTAGATTGTGTGTGGTCTAGCGTGCTGTAATTAATGTTGGTGGTTCCTGCACATGTCTGTAATCAAAGGAAACAAGAAAAATGTCTCCACCATAATCTATGCAGAAGTTATTGTATTCCAACTGATGAGAGGTGCTGTACAAGCCACAGGGATCATCATTGTTTTCATATTTCACGATTCTTTTGTTTGATCAAACATAATTCACTGTGTTTGGAGCACGTCAGACATATAAAAGGATTACTTATGCACATCACCTCAAAAACAGAGAAGAATGGCCCTAGCACACAGCATAAGGTAAGAGATGACAGCTGTCTGTGCTATCTGGGGCTGCTTATTGATCATAAATGTATTGTTTTCACTTCTGCGCCATGGAAACACCGAGATTCATTCGACAACAGTTTGATATGTGCATATAATTCAGTCAAAAGAATGCTAGAACCGTATGAGCACCGGCAAGAGCTTTCATTTGAGCTATAACTTGTTCATGCGTCATATGAAAAATATGAAAATGAACTAATGTTCAATACCCAGCCATCCCCATAATAATACCTTAATAATTAAAACTCATTCATTCTTTTTCCTTCGGATTAGTCCCTTTATTCATCAGGGGTTGCCACAGCAGAATGAACCACCAACTTATCCAGCAAATGTTTTACACAGCGGATACCCTTCCTGCTGCAACCTAGAACTGGGAAACACTCTCACATTCACACACACGCTCGTACACTGGCCAATTTATTTAATCAATTCCCCTAAAGCGCATGTGTTTAGACTTTGAGGGAAACCGGAGCAACCAGAAGAAACCCACACCAACACAGGGAGAACATGCAAACTCCACACAAAAATGGCAACTGATTCAGGCTCAAACAAGTGACCTTCTTGCTGTGAGGCCACAGTGCTAACCACTGAGCCACTGTGCCGCCCACATTATAAGTAATTAATTAATTTTTAAATTAAGTCATTTTTTTAGATATTTATTTTTTCAAACTGTCACTATATGACAGTATTACAAATCAGACAAATCTTAGATTAGGCTCTTCCACTGTAAATGACACGTTCAAATGACGTCCAGCAGGATTAAAATGTAGGACAAAAACAAACACAGACGGCGCTGACATCACTGCAGACACAACAGAAACAACTGGGAACGAAAGCATCTGTTAAATATCAGGATTAGTGTTTATATCAGCAGTCATGCCACTGCACACTGAGGCTGCTTTGATTTTAAAAACAAAATAGCGCTCAAAGATTACGGTACAAATTTTTACAGCAATGTTTGTAAATTGACAAACTAAATACATAGTTGGACATGATCGTAGATGACAGTTGTGAACTGCCAACAACAGTCAGTCAGAATAAAGGATGCCTCTCTAACCTGAAAAAATACGACTGTAATTTACAGTAAATAAATTTGTTTTAATAAATTGTTTTGGATTCATCGTAAAAATACAGCAACCGTAGGATTATTGAACTATTAAACTAATAAATACTGTCGAATACTTTACTTTTATGCTGCAGTAAACTGTGGTGTATAGTTGCAGAAACTATTAGCGGTTGCTAGAAGGGATACAGCTGCAGCCAAAAGTTTATTTATTGAATTACATATTCATTTTATTAATGTGTACCCGTAAACTCAGCCCTCCTAGTATTTTATTATATTATTCATATTATTTAGTAAATTGCCCATTAAATTGTATCCCTTCTAGACTACCTCGGCGGGTAGGAGTTGACATTAATAAAATGAAATTTAATGGGTAATGGGTCAATGGCTTTGAAGTAGTCGTTAATAAAACACAAGTAATTAATTTAATTAATAAATAATCCTCGACTTCCGACCGCAGGTGCATTCCTTCTAGAGTTCATGGGTGTAGAAGTTAATAAAATGCAATTTAATAGCAATTTAATTATTACTATGAATAAAACTCGGTATAATTACTATTTTTACATTACTGTAAAGGTAAGATTTAAGAGTGGTCGTTAATAAAACACAGTTAATTAAATTAATCTTTAACTTCCGACCGCAGATGTATCCCTTCTAGACGTTTACCTCAGCTGGAGTCGACGTTAACAAAATGCGATAATGGGTAATTTAATTAATAATATTAATAACACTCAGTGAATGACTGTTTTAACATTACTGTTAAGGTTGAGGTCAGGGTAGTCGATAATAAAACACAATTAATAGCTAATTTAATAACAGAAATAATTCCAGCTAACCTCCGACTCCAGCTGTATTCCTGCTAGACTTTACCTCAGTTTATAAAATGCAGTTTAATCGGTAATTTACTGAATAACATGAATAATACTCGGTATGATTACTGTTTTTATATTTCTGTGGGGATTATGTCTGGGGGTAGTCGTTAATAAAAACACAATGGTTGATTTAATGAATATTGGAAACGCGTAAACTTCTGACCGCAGCTGTATCCGTTCTAGCAACAACCGTCAACCGGTGATTTTGTTTGTATTTCGATATGTATCGCGTTTCCATAGCAACACATTCAAGCAAAATAAAAAATAACACTACAGCATCAACTACAGATATTTTTATTAATGTTGGACTCCAGCCAATTTTTAAACACCAATCTAAAACATTATTCGTGCGTTTTTTGCCCTGTACATCACCTGAGTGTTTTGAACATGGACCGTCAAAAGCACTACAGATTTGGGCATCTGTTATTTTATATATATGTAAAGGGTGGGCTTCTGATTCCCCCATTTTCCACTTAATCCTCTCCCATCCCCCTTCAACTCATCTCCGCATTATCCTCCGTGCATTTGAATGATTTTGTCACGGGGGTCTTTCTGCTTTTTTTTTTCTCCCCCTCCCCATCGCCTCATTTCTCTCCCCTCCGCCGATTATTCTGCTGTTTTCATTTCTCTCCAGCGTCGAGAAGCGGAAACTGAGCAACTTCACATGCTGCCTCTTGATATTTGACTTTCGCATGTAGCCTATATGTACATGCAGGAATGGATTTAACTCATAATCCGAGCACTAGAGCTGCTGGACATTGATAATGGTTGGAAATAAATGGATGTATATCGGAAGTGACCGCGACGAGGTGAGTAGCAATGCGTTACAGGTGCGCAGTGTGTTTATAAGACATATTATAGACGTGATATTTTATTTCCGAACTCTTTATTTTGATATTATTTTATGAGTCCTGCAAATATATAGATGTGAAAAGAATAATATGGTTAAATTAAAATGCATTTCTATGAAAGCATGATGACAGCAAAATATAATAAATAATGTAGCGTATCTGTTGCTAATTAGCTGATTGTTTTTTAATTGATCTGTAATTGATTGAATTGTAACGTGGGAAGTGAATCACTGTACTTAAAAATGTGTTAGATTGTGTATGGTTAGAAGCTGGGTTATTTCAACCCAAACTATGGACAAACCCAATTTTTGGTCTTGTAAATGAAATAAATAATTAACCCAGCGGTTGGTTTTGTTCATGTTTTACTAAACAAGAATGCATAATAATAATTAAAAATTAAGTTTTGATATATTTACAGTAGTACATTTACAAAATATCTTAACAGAACATGATCTTCACTTCAATTTCAGTCATTTTTGGCATACAATTATAGATTTTGTGTTAGTTTTGTAGTTCAGGGTCACATTTCTCATGGGATTTTCATATAATTTTTCCAATAACATTGGTTTATATTCATTTGTTTTTGTCTATTGAGTCTTCTATTATGTAAGCGTCAGTCGAACAAATGCACTTTTCAGGGATGTTTAGATTTACTCATCAGTTTGCATATCTGATATGATTTCACATCGCATGATCCAAACCCCCAGCACCAAATCCCTGAGTCTGTCTGTTTGTAAGATACGCTTTTGGTATTGTTGTGATTTCAGCTATCCTTATTTTTCGGCTATTAAAACTAAACCCTGACATAAAAACACTTTTAGCATAATTTAGCGCATGGAGTTCTCAGAATTTGTTAATCTTACAGTTTTTTAAATGCTGCTTATTTTTTACCCAACAATGGGTCAAACCAAAAGCAGTTGATGTTGTTATTTAATTATTCAATTAAATTTGAATGAGAATGATGTGTTTTTTAGAGTTTTTGTCTTGTTTCTAGTCTAAATATCTAAAACTTCTAGACAAGAAAAAAATATTGTCTTGTTTTTAGAAATAATGCATCAAAATTTAAACAATATCTTGTACTTGTCTAGAAAATGCTTCTTTATTTAAGATTTTTTAGATATTTCAACTAGAAACAAGACTAAAACGTTTAAGTAGGAACATTTTTGCAATGTTAGGTTGTTTGTGTCCATATTTTGGGGTAAAATAACCCAATATTGTTTATAATGTATGAATTAGTTATGCAAAAATAGCAGAATGGGAATGTGTTTGCAGAGTGTCTACATTCAAAGTAAAAATGCTGGGTTATTTCAACTCAAATTTGGGGTAAAATATGGATTAATCCAACTTTTTGATTCATTTTGGTTGTTCATTCATTCATTCATTGATTTTCCTTTGGCTTAGTCCCTTATTTATCTGGGATCGCCACAGCAGAATGAACCAACAACTATTCCAGCACATGTTTTACACAGCGGATGCCCTTTAAGCCACAATCCAGTACTGGGAAATCTTTTGGTTATTTGTTTTTATTAAATTCATAGACCAAATTTAACCCAACCTTTTGGGTTTGTCCACATTTTACCCAAGTTTGGCTTGAAATATCCCTCATTTAAAAAAAAAAAAAAAGTTTGAATGCATTTATATCCATGAATATGGTTTGATCTGGAAACTTTGATGCTGTGATATTAGTTCTGATTGTCATATCATTCAGATTCAAGACAGTCACATTATAATTAAATAAGCACAGAAATCAGTATGATCAGCCTCCCAACAAAACCTAAAAATTAGCATGTAAAAAAGACATATAGGTTCTTCATTCGTTTATCCTTCGGCTTAGTCCCTTTATTCATCAGGGGTTTTATCCAGCATATGTTTTACACAGCGGATGCCCTTACAGCTGCAACCAAGTACTTGGAAACACACATTCAAACACACACATACACTACGAACAGTTTAGTTCATCAATTCCCCTACAGCGCATGTGTTTAGACTGTGGGGGAATCCGGAGCACCCAGAGGAAACCCACGCAACACAGGGAGAACATGCAAACTCCACACAGAAACGCCAACTGACCCAGCCAGGACTCGAACCAGCGACCTTTATGCTGTGAGGGCACAGTGCTAACCACTGAGCCATCGTGCCGGCCCTAGTTTTGATTTAAATATTATAAATAATTCAGATTCAAGACAGTCAAGTTATAAATCTGTAAACCTAAATCTTTATATAAATTAGCATAAACACATTGCATGTAAAAATGATAAATTGAAGATTTGCTGTTCAAACTGTCTAGCTTGTGGTTCACTCCTGAAATATGAAGAGTTTAGATGCAAAAACCTCTAAGTGGCATCTGAAATTTCCTCTAAAGTGTGCATTTTTCTCAGGCTTCTGTGTCTTGGTTCAGTAATTTCACTTTTGTAGGAAAGAATAGGTCACCTTCATCGATTTTAACATGAAAGAACTGAACATAAACATAAGAGGCGGAGAAAAATGCTCATTGTAGAAGAAAATTCTAGATGGCACTTAGAGGTTTTCGCATCTGAACTCTTAATATTTTCTTGCAGATCTACCTTATATACTACATGCAATGCTCAGACAGTGGGGTTTGGATCCTGCGATGTGAAATCTTATCAGACTGACATGAAAACTGATGAGTGAATCTGAACATGCCTGAAAAGCGCATTTGTTTGACTGATGCTTACATAATAGAAGACTCAGTAGGCAAGACAAATGAATAGTAGATATGAACCGAGATTGAGTAAATGTGACCCTGGATCACAAAACCAGCATATATGTTGGAGGATTATATATACTTTTTGGCATTTAGGCAAAAAAGTACATGGCAAGGGTCAAAATTATAGATGTTTTTTTCATATTATAGTCAAATGTTAAGTACTATATATGCAGGCATATAGTCAAAGTCAAAACGATTCACCTGCCTGTAAATTTTCTTTTCTTTTTCAAATATTTTCCAAATGATGTTTGACAGATTCAGTGAATTTTTCACTATATTTTATATCATATTTTTTTTTCTGGAGAAAGTTTGATTTGTTTTATTTCAGCTTGAATAAAAGCAGTTTTGTAATTATTTTAAAATAATTTTAAGGTCAATATTATATATATATATGTATATATATATATATATATATATATATATATATATATATATATATATATATATATATATATATATACAGAGGGTGTCACGATCCTCCAAATTCTCGATTCGATTACATTTTCGATTCTAAAGGCACGATTCGATTCGATTTTCGATTATGAATAATTAATTAATTAATGACCAATTAATTATTAGTAGCCTACCGTTTAAACTACCTGACCTGCATGGTCTTTGTTTTACCCATAAACAAATCATACAGTAAATGAATAAAGGCAAGATACACACATAATTACCACCTGTCAATCACTTTTTCTGCGGGACTCGTGAATAGGCAGTGATCTGTGTCGTTATAATGGCGTTGGTAAAAAAGACGCACAACCAACAGGAACCAGCCAACAGTATCTGAGGTGTTTGCTAAAATGACTAAGTACAAGTGAGTGAAAGATTGAAGCAGTCCTCTGACTGCCTGGACCTGCTGTCTGGAGCGCATGGCTGTGTGCGTCTGTGTCTGTGTGGTCACGTGATGTGCATTTTCAGAGGTAGAGAGGAAGGAGGGCTGCTCAGAAATGCTACACGCCACTGTGGATGTCAAATCGTTGTTCTAAAATGCCATTTAAAAACAAAGACAGTGTAAACAGGGCCTGAGTGTGTACTTTTCCCCAGCGGATTTGCAACAGGGGCGGGCGGAGGATCGCGATGCCGGTGTTGTCTATCGGACGAACCGTACGTAATACGTACATAGCAGAGCTTGCAAAACTGTGGGTTTTTTTTGTCGACAACACGAACGTTGTCAACATAACTCACTGGAAATCCAAAATGCTTCCACACCGGCGACTTCATTGAAAGAGGAGAGGGTTTAAGCTCTGTCGACGGGTCTCCTGCTTCTGCAGTTTAACAAGCACTTCAACAAGCCTGTTTTTTTCCCGCTTGGCAAGCCAAGCTGACGTGACATGGGGGCGTGGCAGCATCCACCATTCTATTTTTTGATTCGATAATCGAAATTGAGCATAAATTTCGATCGAACACCCTAATATATATATATATATATATATATATATATATATATATATATATATATATTTTTTTTTTTTTTAATGTTATTAGCACCCTTCAGCAATATTAGTTTTGGATTGTCTCCATAACAAACCACTATTATACCAAGACTTGCCTAATTACCCTAACTTTACCTTAATTAACCTAGTTAAGCCTTTAAATGTCACTTTAAGCTGAGTATCTTGAGTAGTATCTTGAGTCAAATATTATATATATCAAGTAAATCCTGGGGCTTCAGTGTTTTCAAATGTTTTAAATATAGACCGCAAGACTGTCAATCCTAACTACTGCACCTTTAGGAATGAAATTATTGCTTTATTTTGAATTATTTGACACACTAGCAGGCGTTTAAACAAAAATGTCACTTTAAGCATCCTGAAGAATATCTAGTTAAATATTATGTGCTACAGTGTGGTCCATAAGTGCTTTAAAACGAACCTTTTTTTATTTAATCTTTGACGTAATCTGAATCATGAAGAGAGGGCAGGGCAAAAGCCAATGAGAAAAAGGGGGCGGGGCATGTCGGACACTAAAGAGCATTTGATTGGTCAGAGATTTGATTAGAAACTGAAGTATCTGGAGACGTCAAATAACGGTTGATCCATTTAGGCGGAAGTGACAAACTGCAAGCTGTGGATGTTGATATCTTCTAAATGTGACAGATTTGGAGCACGCCAGCTTGTAAACTAACATACTGATACTAATATCTTAAAAACGTTCATTTAATTTCATGAAATCTTAGCGTGCACTAACTGCAGGTAATGCGGCGGTACCTTCTGCTCTCCGTGTCATT